TAAAAGATAAATGTAATCTATTAGAAACAGCATTTATTAGTGGTACAAGTAATAAAAACACTTCTTTGGTGATGATTAACGAATCAATAAAAACACCGATCGTATTGAATTTGAATAGTATTATTCGTGAACGTACGTCGTCTGTTGATTCATTAGAAGAAGATAAGATTGTTAAAGATCACATAGAAAATCTAATACCTATACAAGGAACAAAATCGTGGATAAATGATATTCAACAACAGAGAGTGGAAAATTGTAATGAAGGTAAACATATACTATCTTCTACATATTAAATTCTTCATGTTATTTTCATTATTAGTAAAATCCAACATCAATGGTTTATCCAGATGGCGATCATTTGAAGACGAATTCATGCTTCCGGTATCAATTAATCAATTAACATCATCTGAACAACACAATCGACGTAAAACTCTCTCTGAAAGTGATATTGTCTCAAAAAATATTTCTTCATTTGTCGTACCGAATATAAATATCAAAGATGAAAATGAAGAGGAAACTTCTAGAATGGATATTTATCACACTGTACAATTAATTGAGCATGATCCGATTGAAAATATGTATTCAACATCACCAATCACTAATGTTCTACATTTCGATGCTCAACTTCAAGTTGATAATGGTCACTTGACTGATGCTGTTCGCTACGGTGTATTTCATTCATCCCCGCAAGAATCCATGATTCAAATATCGTGTCAACAGTTCAAATGTAATCACGAAACACAAACGATGGAAATAGATGAAAACGAGGAAGAATGTCATTCATTTAATCTAAGACAATATGTCTTGCTTGACACATTGGAAACATCAATGGATATATCAGAGTCATTGGCCTCAACAACAAGTGGTGAGGAGCAAGATTATGTTGTGAGAATGCAAATAAAAGGAACATTATTAGACTCAAATCATCTAAAGCTGCAAAATATCATCGAACTAAATGAACAATACGATGATGAAGAAGAGCATGACGCGGATAACACAATGGACGATGAAAACTTTGACAATGCAAAGTAAGTTTGTCATCATTTATGACTAACAAACAGCAGTTTTTTCTGAAAATAGTCAGTTTTGCTCAAGTTCATTTCTCTTTCCAGTGAAAGCCACAATGTGACGTTATTAATGGATGATGGTGAACGCCAGTATGTCAATAGTGAACCTTCTTCGTCCGATAAACACCGTTCATACGATACAAGAGATGAACAAACAACAAATAGAAACGGGTATCAAAGTAGTGGAAATGGATTCAGAAACTCGTTCAGCGGCAGTGGCGGTGGCGGTAGTGGCTCTGGGCGTGGAAACGATGAAGATGAACATAAAAACAATAATCCTAATGATGACGACGAGGAAAGTATCGATGATGAAACAATAGCTCGACGGTTGGGTTTTCATTTTGATAATGTAACATTAGAATTGATTCATTCTATTCGGCAACTCGTTCGAAAACGATCGTATGATCGTCGTGACTTTGATTATTTACAAACTTTGATCGATGAGATAATTAAACTTCAACAACTTTACTCTTCGGATAATATCGATTTACTTTTACGTACAATGGTGAAATTATTGAGGTTAGATCGTCCATTACGAACATTTATAAATGCAGAAAATTTTTTACGTGATCGAATTCAATATGCAAAGCAACAACAGAGAAAAAAACGACGTGGAGCTGAAGAAGATATCGATAGTCTTGAAGAGAGGCCAGTGAGAGCTGTTAAGTATCAGATAACAAATGATGAGCCGGTCCGACGATCCACGAACAACAGTAATGGCAGTGTATTTGATTATTGGAAAAATAAAGATCAGAAGTCCAAATTGCACGGAATGCAACAACGAGCAAGATCAGAAAGTAAGCTTTGAACTGTTTTTAGTCAACAAGTATTAAAAAATTAAGCTTGAAATAAACAGCTAGATACAGACCTGTCAATTGCAGTACGTTTCTCAGGCATTTTATCTAATGTTTTGGTTCTGTTTGACACGTTTTAAGTTACCTTCGACTAGTCAGACAGTCAAAATTCAACAAACGAGCAAAAATGGCATATTTTGTGAGCGACTACTGACCTCAATGGTAAACCACACGTCTAGTTACGCAAGGATGATCCTTCACTATGTTCGTGAATACATCGGACTGTACCAGTCGGATACGCTTCGACAAACTGTGTTATTGATAAGTAAAAGGTTTCTATTGTGGTTTATTATTTAAAGGTTCGCCTGATCAACAATATCGCTCTCGTCATGATTCCAAAGATAGTCTTGAAGAAATGGATGAAACCTCCTTACCTCCCCCAACTTTCGTTTCACCAGGGAAACGTCGGAATACACGGGAAACAGATCGTGAAGTGGCTGAGATTACCCAAGATACATCTATTGCAGATCCACTTACATCCGTGGGTCGAGCACCAACAAAAGTGAAACAAATGGCGAGAGATATCGAATATCGAACAGTGCCTGTAGCAACAGGAACAAATCGAAGTGAAATGAATATGAGAACTGGTGATCGTTTCCGAGATCATGTTACATATTTATCCGATGATTCTGCTCAAGTAAGCACATCACATTATTTTAAATATAGGTGTTTGGATAGATCTTGATCTCATTTTAGATACCATCAGCTCATATAAGTGTTGCATTATACGACATCAAGCCTAACTTAAAAAATCAGTATTCAAATGAAGAACGCACCCGTCCCGCCCACTCTGATGGTATACTTGAAGAAAGCGAACATCGTACAACTCGAGCAAAACAACAGCGAATTTATGACAGTCCGATATCGTCTCCCTCTCTCACTGAAAGTCGTGTAAAACGAATCGTCGATCGTCTCGAACACGATCAACAACTGTCACCGAACACGACAACGATAGTTACAAAATCTTCAATTAAAAAAACGTTTGACGAGTACTCAATAGATTCGTACAGCGAAGCCGACCATCAACCACCTGTGAAACGTTCAAAAGATATTGGGCACAAAAAAGTTATAAAAAGTCAGATTTATGATGCAGAACGAGAGGAAGATGGTGGTGGAAAAGTGATTTATCGACGAAAAATTGAACGTAATATTCCGAAAGATTCTGTTATTGAAGATGATTTCTTCCATAATAACAAACATCCATCGAAAGATTCAGTTGATCGTGGAGATGAAGATCATTCAGCGCGAACAACATCATCCTCACCAAGACAACGCGTAACATATCATTCAGGTGATGATGATACTTATATTCGAATTGATTCAGTGAGAGATGGTCAAGAACTGCCAAACGACGTTAAAGAGTTTGTTATTTCACATACAAAACCAAAACGATACAACAGAATATTAGGAATTGAGACAAATAGAACAATAACAGAACCTGACATATCCTCACAAGGTAAAAAATAAGTTTTGCAGGCAAGTCGAGTGTATGATTTAGAGTATGTTTTTCTCATGATTATCTGTTGATTATATCTCGATGAATACTGTTCATTGAGCACCAAATTCTACAAGATATCTGTATGTAAAATCTATTTTCATATCACTAGTATCCTAGAACGAAGACGGATCAATTGATGAAATCGATGTACTTTTGTAAGGTCATAGAATGCTGAAAAAATCGGAGATGAATATTTAAGTACCACTAGTCAACCGTTCGACAGATTCTGAATTTTTATTTACTCTCTCTCCATCTTATTTTAGAGGATCGTCAGGCAACTGAAACGAGTATAACAATGGTACGCGATGTTCGCGCTCGTATGTACGAAGACAAGATCGAAAAGACTACAAAATCTACTACAACTCCCGTTGAAGAAATAATGAAGGTGGATCTAGAAACGCTTTACATTCTCGAACAACGTGGTGAAAAGCCACCATCAGCTCCCACCATGATGGATATTTATGTATCTCCTGAATATCGTTACATTATTGAAGAAGAGAGAGAAGAACACGATGAACATCATCGCACGTATCATCCAGCAGGAATTAATACAGCAGTGCAAACAATTTACACACAGCCCACATCGAGACAGAAATTTCAACGACCAATTGGAACGCAAAGTGATCTAAATCAAGCGACAATAACAACGCAAACAACTGATAGTTTACATCGGCAACCCAAAGAGAGAAAAAAAATTATTGTTGATGCAAATACACAAACAACCATCAAGGTAAAGATAAATGAATGAATGTACAAATTTCATTGCTGGATTTAAATAGCTACTGGAATATTTATCGTCTACAATCTTTCTCGATCTATAGAGTATTTAAATGACTTTTTTTTGACGTGGGTAATTTTCTTCTTTTACTTTTAGGATAAATCGTCTTTAAAATCGGATGACAGCTCGGATGGTGATGGAACTGTCGTTTACATTGATAATCGCGAAGAGAACTTTGAATGCTGGAAAAAAGATACAAACGAGGGTAGTAGCGATGAGACGGATTACGGTCGCGACAAGGATCATCCGTCAATTGGTAAGATAACATCCAAGATAAAAATGGATCAGATTCGTGATCTAAATCGAAATGTAGTACGTCGACATTTTGAAGAATCAGAGCAACAACGAGAATTTTATGAAATTCACACAAGGGGGCAATGTAAATGCGTTGTATTATCAATCGATGATTACAACAGTCAAGAAGTAATTAGGGGTGACCAAACAGCCATGGAAGAACAGATAACAAAAATTGAGAAAATGTATACTTTTCAAGCGTTGCAACACATAAATTTACATGTACTTTACACACGTAAGTCATCATAATAAAATTCGTTCTCCTCGACTTTTCCCTTGACTGAAAATCTGGGGTCATACAAACGAAATGTCAGTCCGTCCATTAATCATCCGCAGTAAAGACACCTCCATTTGAATACCCGTCAAATAGCGACAAATACTTCATATATAAGTAGCAGAAGCTCGAATATTTCAATTGAATTCAGGAAAACGGTTATTCCACTTTCGGGACACATTATCCTATTTCATTGATTCAATTTCGAAAAAAAGCGGAATTTCAGATTAAGTGAGTTAAAAGTCCAGCATGTAGCAAAATCTGTCCTGAAAAAGCTCTTAATAGTTTTCTTTTACCTTAATTTTAATATGTTGGCTTTCAGCGAAAAGTAAACTTTTGTCAAGAGCTTTCAGTTAAGGATCAGTGATTCGCAGATGAACGTTACTTGTAAAATGAGCTCTACAGCTGACATCCTATTAAACATTTTTAAACAAGTATTACATATGTAAGCCTTATGATTCGTCTTAAAACCAAGATTAGTGGATAATAATTTTAATTTGACTGAAATTATAGTTACAAAACAGATTAAAATCGTATATTTGGCAAAAAGTTTGCCGTTCAAATAGCAAGAGGGCGTGATTTTGTTTTGTAATTAATTAATTATTAATTAATATTATTACTTCGTTTTCAAAAAATGTTCTTAATAATCCCAAGCACACAAAAAGCATGGAGTATCGCCCAATGTATCTAGATTCGTCAATTCACTGGTCGGTACATCTAAATGCGTAAAAAGAAAGCCATCGAAATATCGCACGTTGTATCTAGATAAATATGGAGATATCTAGATGCATCGAAATACAGATAAATGTTTTTCTCGATGTAACGACATAACATTGCCCATGCATCTACATGAGCAATGCTGTGAATAATGCATTTAGCGTCCATTAAGTGGTTCATGCATCTGGCTGACTTAGTGATTCAGACAATACATCTAGACATCATTGTCAGTACACGGATATGTCAGTATTTCAATAAATACATTTATTCCAATACAGTGCTCTGGTGCGTGGACGTAGACAAAAAAATATGCTTATTTCGTGCACTTTTCGCTTTTGACCTACCCAACTTCAATGGATGAAAGTTCTGAGTTTAAACCAAAATCAAATGAGATTTCATCTTTGATTTTTAGTTTTTTCGGCTCTACCGCATGTAAGGAGACATTCGGAGGTGAAATCTTATTCGATTTTGGTTTAAACTCAGAACTTTCATCCAATGAAGTTGGGTAGGTCAAAAGCGAAAAGTGCACGAAATAAGCATATTTTTTTGTCTACGTCCACGCACCAGACTACTGTAAGCAAGCACTGCTTTACTTGCCTATTTTCTGGCTTCTCAAGGCATTGAGATTTGCATTGTGTGGCATTGGATTTAACCCGATACATCTAGATAAGTCAATACTTTTTACTCTTTTACCTAGATATTCTTGCTGGCGCATTGCCCAATGCTCCAGCAAGAACATCTAGATTTTTCCGCTGGGCATTTTTTGTTTGGGTATGTTTAATTCCTATTGCTCTACTCTTGGACCGAAAAGCTCTTTACCGGTACATTTTAGAATAAATTGATTAGTCACTTCTCTAAATGTCTTGCACGGAGGCCCATAGGATATGCGTGAAATGTGTCGTATTAAAAGGTACCTTATAGAAGGACACATCGAATAGGGTCCCTGAAGAAGGCATATTTATTGTGTTCCGTCACACAACACATTCTAATGTACCCTCTCATGTCTGCTCATTCATCTTTTTGTTTTGCGGAAGCAGGTCTATATAATAAATTCAAAATTTTACTCACAAAATTGAAAAGTTTTTCGATATAATTCAATAAAGCTCGAGCTCAATAATTCAATCCCGTCGCTAAACAAATATCTTGACCGACTTGACTGCAAACAGCCTATACTTGACAGGAACTGCCTGACTTAAAGTGTCTCGTCATCCTAACTATCTTCGGAGTTTATCTGAAGAAAAACTAGACAGCACATTATTTTTGCTTATATATTTCCTCAAAAATAAAGGTAAAACAAACTTGATATGTACTGGGCACATCCAATGTGCCCTGGTAGATGATATTGGATATACCGTGTGTCCAAAATTTGTGCCTGATTCATCGCAAAAAAATGTGCCGTCTACGAGGAAGCATTTTCTTCTACAGTGTGTGATATAATGGATAGGGAACGTAGATACTGGATAAATGTAGCACTGAAAAAGCGTATTTATTCACTATTCAACTTTTAAATATGCAAAAATAAAAATATAGTTAATTGTAGTTCCAGTTAATTCAGTTTTGCTTTCGTTCTCCTTGTTTCAGGTGATACTGAATCTTTAGCTAATTATATTTTAATTAAACGCGAATATCCTGATTCTTACTACGATGAATATCCGAGTCATCCTTCGATTCGTATCAACTATTACACACGAAATGGTCACTTGTTTAAAACTGAAGAGCGACGTCTCGATCAACTCTCGTTAACCATTCGCTATGAACTTGAATATGAACTGAATCATTATAGTACAGCTCGACTCATCCTGTTACCAGTGACAAAAGCCGAGAGACGACACGTGAATTTGACTATCAAAGAAGAAGTGACTAAAGATTTAGTTCAACGTCATCAACGTGGACCAGATTTAGAACAAGAAATTCGACGACAATTACAAGAACCTATCGCTCTTCAACGTTTATTTGATTATTCAACAAGAGAGACTCCATCGTTAACAAATGTGCGTCGTTTACCGAGAATTGAAATAACCACATCACTACGAATAATACAACGTTATCGAAATGTTATTCATCATCTGTGTAAAATATTTCGAAAAGATATTCGAATGACAAAAGAACACGAACAAAAACGAAATTTGATATTAATCAGTAATCAAGAATATTATCAACTAGGTAAATTAAACGACAAATATATAACTTTAATAAAGACTTCTTTTACTTTCAATTTAGACTTAACAAATTTAATGGCTCCTGAACCTGAACCAAATATATCTGAAATTCAAAAACGTCAGACAGATTTATTTGATCGTGAAGTGACATTAGTATTAAATGATGAACAACAACGAAAACCTCGACCATCTAATCATGAAGAATGGGAATACCATAAACGTGAACAATCACAATCGATTGATCGAACACCCCGTCATCCTCCTAATACTGAAAAACCTTTCGATTTTATTCAATATCGAAAAGAATTAGAAGAGCAACACAGAATGTTGGAACAACGACATCGAGAAGAACAACGATTAAGACATCAAAATCGACGTGTTGTACCAGGACCTCCACCACCTGGTCATCCGAATGAAGCTGAATTTTATTTAGGTAAACATGGATTGTTTAAACATATAAAAATAAGTAAAAGTTGAATTCTTTTAGGTGCTGAACGGCGCCAATTAATTGAGCGCGAAATCTATAATATGCGTGAATCAATTCGTCCTCATGAACATGCTCCACCTCGCTATAAACATGAACCACTTCGTCGTTCATGTTCGTGGGGCTATTCGGGTGCAAATCGATATGTTCGTGCACGTATCATACATGTTAAAGACATTTTTGATGATAACACGGCACCTAGTGCAATCGACCGCCAGCAACGCGACGAACAAAAAGCACGAGAACAAGAATTATTTATTCGTGTTGATGATTATATCAATGAACCAGCAGCATCGAGTCTAAAACGATCGTATTCAACCGATTATTTGCAAGAAGGTGGTCCACGAACAAGAATTAAATATATTCGAATACCGGGTGAAACGATTCGAATTGAAGAGAAACAAACGTATGAATACGAAGGAATACAATACGCTGATTTACCCTATAATTTAAGATACTGGAATATTTTATATATACTTGATAGAGAAGCAAAAAAAGGTCGTCCATTAGGTTCTAGTATCCCTCATGTACCCATCAATGATCCTTATCGTAATCTCATTCCGCCCCTAACTCATCAGGAAATTCGTCAAACGGCACGTCAAGTTTTACATCCACGATACAATGTTCGAAATTGTACCGATCGTACTCTACGTTGGTTTCTTTCAAAAGATCAACGAACAGAGATCGAATCGAGACGATATTTAGAAGCTCTCGAACATCGTCGAAGACAATCAGCTACAGATGTTAGTGGACGAAGTTTGAAACCAGAAGAACGTCCAGAAAAATACTTTGTAACAGAAACTCTTGTAAGATATGAAAAATTACCCGATCGAATAGTACCTGTCGTTGAATCAGTTACCAATGGCGGTGTGAGTGGAACAAGATCTATTTCACAGCCAAGAATTATTCAGCCACCAAAATATACGTCTACAGCACAATTCGACAATTTTACTCAACAACATCAATTAAATAAACGTTCTCAATCTCAACCGACGAAACACTTCATGCAGTCATCCTATGTAGATCAACATGCAGCATTTCCACCATTAAGACCAATTGAGATACCGACATCACATTTTCCTACACATCCATTGACTCGTCACCAATCATTTCATGAACTTTATCAACCACCACCTATTCAGCAGCAACAAATTTATCACAGCAATCGTCCAAGACATCCACCTTTGTTACAGAATACACATAATGTTCCAATTGCCTATAATAATCGTTTTCAACGTACTTATAGCAATTCGAGTACACAGTCGTTGAATCATATTCAACCTCACCAACGACGTCCTCAGCTTGGAACTTGTTCACCTACTACTAATTGTGCCTACAGGTCATATCAAAACTCATCTTCTCAACGTAATCCATTATTAACAGAAATAATCGATAGTCAAACAGGTCGAACACTAATGACAACATGTCAGCAAGAATTACCGAACGATGTACTAGGATTATTAAACAAATATAATCTACAGACGTAAAACTATTACTACTATTCGTCGAATCCGTCATTTATTAATTTATTTTAAATCTGGAGTTTTATTTAATCTCCATATATTACGTTCACTTCATGTTTATATGCGTACGTTCGTCATTTTTTTAAACTTTTGATGTGCACTTTTCTTTTCTCTTTAAAATCGATGCTGTTGTGAACAGGATAGAAAATTGAAATCTTTTTGAGTACAAAACTGCAGGACTTAATTTTCAAGAGCAAATGAAAGTGTATGATCATTTGAATCTGAATTAATTTCTGGCAGAAAAAAAGCATTTTGATTTTTTCCAATATGGTTTGTGTTACAGCTTATTTCTATGCCAGGAATAATAATTTTTGCCATTCTATATCCGATATAGAAGAAACTTTTCTGGAATCTTATCTAAGTTAGTTATAACAGAATTTTTCAGACTTCATCTATTTATGTTTGGGAGATACTGCTAAAATAATGTAGAACTGTTCGTACATCTAAAAAACCTTTCGTTAGTCTGCATGATGGATAGCTAGAGAAGATCTTAAATTGAAGTTAACAGTTTTATCTACAGGCTAAGGGACCCAATTTTTATATTAAATCTCATTTCAAATTCAGAGAACCATTTTTCGAGAAGTCGAACAGCAGTTTTGACTTTTCAGGCTTTCAAAAATGATTTGCAGTAAAATATCAAAAATCGGGCTCTATCAATCTGTAGAGAAAAGTGTAAGCTTCAGTTTAAGATCTTCTCGAGCTATATCCAACAGAACTACTATCGGTTCCAAAATACAAGAGTAGCGGTCATTTTTTGAGTAACTCTGCATCAAATAAAGATAAAGACTTGCGGTTGTAAAACAAATTTATTTAGTACAAACAAAATCGAGTTGAAATATCTGAAAAGATCATTTATAAGTTCCCAGTGATGATTCTTCTGCGATATTTTCACACATACAGAACTATATTTATTCAATAAACAAGTAAGTTGATTAATCGAACTGACTTCAAACATTTTCGCACATGTGCATTTCAGACAAAATTTTAATAAAATAGCTGATGAATAGAATGGATCCCACGAACAATGAACATCAAAATGAGTATGATTTCAGAGTTGTTTTAAACAGTTGAATTTTAGAGATTACCTTCCACTTAGAATAAGATCATTTGAACTAATTTTTTCTCCTATATGTGAAGCATTCAAAAGCTTGAAAAATACTGCACGGCAAAAATTAGTGAGTGAAAAATGCACTTCATCCTGCATCCTTACCTTTGATTCTTTCAGATATTCTAGCCAAATGTAACCTTTGAATAAACAGTACATTGTACAGACAATACATACAAATTATGGTGCCATCCAAGTTATTACAGACAATTTAATTAGGTCTTAACTCGGAATTGAATCATTATTAGAATTATTTATATACTCTTCAGATTAAAAATGTGTAGTAAAAAGTCGAAATAATAAAAAAAAGAAGCAATTAAGAAACGAAATCTGACAGAATTATATTTCTATTCGACCGTTTCTAATTCAAAATCATTCGTAAATATTTTATGTTCATTATCTCTTACATATTGCGATAAACGTGTTGGATAATCGGTCATCACACCAGTGACACCTTCATTAAATGCATCATTAAATTCAGATTCATTATTCAATATCCATACATAGACCTAAAAAAATACAACTTTCAAATTCAGAAAATTTGGTTAAGAATTTTTGTTATTCTCAAAATAAAATGAAACTATTTTCAATAAAATTTACAGTTATAACTGATGTTTTCAACAAAAAAATAGTAAATCTTCAAAATTTCTAGATTTTAGCATAGTATTTTATTCAAAAAAAGCTCAAACCATAAGTTTAAGTTCAGTCCTGATATATCCCTGAATATGGATAAACACAACGAGAACAAGAAAAACACAAAACAGCTACATACTGGTATTCCTCTTCTTTTCAAATATTTAAATAATGACTTATTGTTCAATGCTCTAAAAACGCATGATTGTTGATCATAGAAAATAAATATGACTAATAGTTATACACACTTTTCAGCAAAATATAAAATTGCTCTAAATTTTCTATTCCAGAATCGACTTGTTTCACTATAGTTGAAATAAAAAAAAGACATTTTATCAAATATACACACATCATCGTACTTACTGAAATACTTCTCCAGGAAATGGAATTTCTAATACACCTTTAGAAGAAAAAACACGTATATATAACTTATATATATATATATATACAAATACACAGTCAGTCCGTTGTCACGCTTTCTGGCATGATCGGGCAAGAGTGCCTGTTTCGGCAAGATGTCTGTCATAAACGAGAAAGAAGGTTGAACACTTAACTTTAATATACGTTGATGAATCAGTGCATGGAGAGTAGAATGAACACTCCCCGCCCATTAGATGACTGATGATTCTCGGGATCAGACCTTGCCTGGACGGGCAAGTTGACTATTCAGGTAATATTACCCGGTTGGGCAACTGACAACGGACTGACGGTTATCAACATATTTTCGAATAGCTAAAGAATTAATAAAAACATACCGGGCTTCAATGGTAGATAGGGCAGTATACCCGTCCAAAAAGCAACAACAAGGTAAGCGGCTTCTTTTAATGAAAAAAAACGAACAATGCGAGAATTCTAAAAAGTAAATATGTATAAAATCAGATAATCAGTAGTATGGGGTGAATTTGTTTCTGTTAATATACCTCTTTATCTAATTTTTTACTAACAATATGACTAAAACTTCCCCAATATGTATAATTTTCTCGTTTGTATTGTTTGATTAATTCAGATATATTATGGATAAGTTCATCATCATTCTCTTTGACATCGAGATTGATGGGGGTTGTTGGATAGCGCTCAAATAAATCTTTTAATAGTGGAATTTTGATCGGAGATTTATCACTAGTAATGACTACATCTAAATAGAAATTCAACAAGAATTAGCACCAAAAATGATCTTCAACTATACACACACACAAGTATACCTGGTTTATAATATAATTGCAATTCGCTATGCAATTGAGGAAGTTCCTAAAAGAAAAAACCAAACTACCAAGAATTTGAATAGGTTTTACTTGATTTAATACATACGTGGTATTTAAAATCTGATATTTTTCCTAATTTTCCGGTACAGCGTAATAATGTCGGATCATGATAAACAACTGGATGACCATCAGCGGTTAAACGACAATCTATTTCTAACATTTCTGTACCACATATTAGAGCACTGTAATACAGAGATAATTAACAATATCCTATCAACTTAAATTAATTTTCTTACTTGTCAAAGGCTAACAGAGAGTTTTCTATTGATTCAGCGGCTCCTTTAAATATAACATTTTGATTAGAGAATGTTAGATTATTCAAATAATTAAATAAAATCTCACCTCCTCTATGCGCAATATTTCTACAAAGGAAACGTGGTCGTTTTTTGACATGTAACCAATGTGGCTTACGAAATAACACGTATGATGAAACAGCATAGACAGCAGCGACAGCTGAACATACAATAAACAAAACCATCTAAAGAAGAAACATTGTTAAGCTTGAAAATAAAGAATTTCATCTATTCAAGTTTAGAATGATAAATACTTGGTCAGAGAACGTACAAAAACCTATCAGAAAAAAACAAAGAATACAGGAAAAATCATTTAAAAAAAAAATATGAGAAATTTTCTACAAGTCTCTTCCACTAAAATACAAAGAGTTATCAAACAGAAAAGTGCATTTGAATTTGACTGAAAATATTGTAAATTTTTTTTTGCATTGTTTTCAGATTTTGCTATTCATCTCTCTTAGATTTCTATCTCAGAAATATAATTTGCACGGAATAGGTGCTTTCTCTGTTTGCTTGATTGAGATAGAGACGAATAAGTGAGTTAACAAGCAAAATCTGTGTATCATAGTTGTTTAAGCATCGAATTATCAAACATACAAAAATATGATATGTTAAGATCATATGGGTAAATATACAGAATTTGTAAATTGAAGAAGTCTCTACTCAAAATTACAAACAAATGGACACAGTCTATACTTAGAGACAAAAACAAAAACCATTTGAAATAATTAGAAAATAATGTTTTCATAACAAATTGAATGAAATAAATTGATCTGATCATTACTTATAAACACTAATCAAATCTCTCTTTATCTTATTTATCCTTACAAGGTTAATATCTTTTAGTTAGGTGAAATTATTTATACTCGTTCCATTGTTAAGTACAGATTTTTCACGAGTTTTTTTTTGTACATAAATCAAAAAAAAAGAAACACACTGGCACGATTTCTTTCGAATTTGTACAACGTTTCAATCTGAGTTACTGAATCGTCTTTTGAATTGTCTCGTTTTACTCAATTTTTCTCGACTCTTGATCATACACACTTGTGACATAAACTTTCTTTTTTGATGAAAAAAATGTACTTAATAACATCAAATAGTATGTGACAAAACTACAACAGAAAATGGAGAACGTTTTTGTAAAGAAATTATGAGGTTTGCATTCATCTCTTCCATCGCTCGTACTCTGTATTATCAACATTCATAACTTGTGTTTGTTTTCAAAAAGTATTTTATTAGAAACAGAGAGGAAACATGTCATATAATATCTGTTCTCTTTGAAAAAAAAGCAAAACTAACTCATTTATATCAATTTTTTATGTATTTTTTTTCTTCACTGTAATTTGGTCATAAATAAACATATATACGTAGAAAAATAACATATTTTGTTTAAAAAGAAACTCCAAAATAACATAAAACAATAGTGTTTATCGAGAGAAAGATATATATATCTATATCCCTAAGTATATATATCTGAGAGGAAAGACAAACACTGTAAGTAGTATTCTATAGTGAAAGTTCATAATGATAAATGTACAAATAAATAAGAAAATCAAGTTTAATAGTGAAAAAATTGTATACACATAGGAGATAAAACAGAAATATGTAAAACCATATTGAATATAGTGTTGTCAAGTACATTTAAATACATAGGCAGATGCATCAGGATTG